CGGTACCACAAGAACTACGGCCACACCACTGACGAGTGTCGCACGCTCTGGGACCGCATCGAAGAGCTCATCCAGGCAGGCCACCTCGGCCATTACATCCAGCGACAGCCAGGTTCCCGAGGTGGCTCTGGAGGCCGGGGACGCGGGAGAGGCCGCGGGTCAGGAGCTCGCACAGATTTACCCACAGGGTCCCAGCAAAATGCTAACGGCGCGATACATGCCGAAATAAGTCAGGAAACAGCGTCGGCTCCCTTACGGGGAGTAATCAACACGATTGCAGGTGGTTTTGCTGGAGGAGGCACCAACAACTCGGCCCGGAAAAGACACTTGCGGAACATCAACTGCGTCCACTCTACCACCTCGACCCCGCAACCTAAGTTCGCCGCCGATCTCCTTCTCCGATGAAGATTACGCCGGCGTCAGCCCTAACCAGGATGACCCCATGGTCATCGTTGTGGAGATAGCCAACTGGAAAGTGCAGAAAACACTCATTGACTAGGGAAGCTCGGCTTACGTCCTGTAATGGCCGACTTTCCTCAAACTAGATGTCCCTCACTCTCTCATTCTACCTCACACGGAGCCCCTAGTCGGCTTCGCGGGAGAACGAGTTCACACTCGGGGATACGTAGACTTGCTGACAACTTTCGAAACGCCACCAGATACAAGGCGGGTCATGGTCCGGTACCTCCTCGTGGAAGCCAACACTTCCTACAACATTATCATCGGGAGGCCAACCTTGAACCAACTCGGAACGGTAGTGTCAACCCCACACCTCACTATGAAGTTCCCGGGCAAGGACGGTCAGGTCATCTCCGTCAAAGCTAATCAGAAGATAGCTCGGCAATGCTACGCCGAGAGCCTGAAGATCTCCTCGTCGAGCAAGCAAAGCGAGGAGAATCCCCCCACTATAGCTCCTTAAGTTTTTTGCTTAATCTTCTTTTACTTTCAGTACGAACAAGCTGTGCACTCTTTTCCCGCCTCAGTCCTCGACTGAGAGGGTTTTTAACGAGGCACGTAAGAACAAATCAATAAAATTATACGTTTTGCTCAATCCATTTCCTCACGAATTGCTTTTGTAACACTCGAAGTTAAACTGGCCTCTTTCATGAAAATCCGGGGTCGAGTACGAACCTCGGGACTCTCAGCATAAGGTCGAATTCGAACCTTAATTACGTTGTTCATTTTAAAGCGAGGTCGAACACGAACCTCGAACATGAAAATCCGGGGTCGAGTACGAACCTCGGGACTCTCAGCATAAGGTCGAATTCGAACCTTAATTACGTTGTTCATTTTAAAGCGAGGTCGAACACGAACCTCGAACATGAAAATCCGGGGTCGAGTACGAACCTCGGGACTCTCAGCATAAGGTCGAATTCGAACCTTAATTACGTTGTTCATTTTAAAGCGAGGTCGAACACGAACCTCGAACATGAAAATCCGGGGTCGAGTACGAACCTCGGGACTCTCAGCATAAGGTCGAATTCGAACCTTAATTACGTTGTTCATTTTAAAGCGAGGTCGAACACGAACCTCGAACATGAAAATCCGGGGTCGAGTACGAACCTCGGGACTCTCAGCATAAGGTCGAATTCGAACCTTAATTACGTTGTTCATTTTAAAGCGAGGTCGAACACGAACCTCGAACATGAAAATCCGGGGTCGAGTACGAACCTCGGGACTCTCAGCATAAGGTCGAATTCGAACCTTAATTACGTTGTTCATTTTAAAGCGAGGTCGAACACGAACCTCGAACATGAAAATCCGGGGTCGAGTACGAACCTCGGGACTCTCAGCATAAGGTCGAATTCGAACCTTAATTACGTTGTTCATTTTAAAGCGAGGTCGAACACGAACCTCGAACATGAAAATCCGGGGTCGAATACGAACCTCGACACTCTCAGCACAAGGTCGAGTTCGAACCTTAATTATGTTGTTCATCCTAAAAGCAGGGTCGAATTCGAACCAGACATATAGCTTAATTATGTGTTCAGCCCAAAAACACACCATAGGCACCAGACATATAGCTTAAAAATGCGCAAGTGTCGAAAAATCAGATACGGTCGCAAGGAAAAACAGAAAACAAAGGGGCATATATACGTACATATAAGACAAGTCCTCAAGATACAATTCACAAAAACAAAAACAACTACGCTATTACAAAGGCAACCTAGGCGGAGGCATTCTCACTAGAGCTGTCGTTGACATCATCCTCCTGAACCAGCCTCCCAAAGCGAACCACCTTCTCCACATGCATGGAGGAGAAGTCAAACCCGGGAGCAAGGAGCCGTGCCTGACGAACAGCCTTCTGAAAACCCCTCTTGTGCTCGGCCACAACGGAGCGTTCGACCTCCGCGAGCCTCTCTTCCACGGCCGCCTTCCCCGCCGCCAACTCTGCAAGCTCCGCCCTCAAGGAAGCAATCTCGTCTTCTCGGCCACCAAGAACGACCTCACTGCGGAGGCGCTCCTCGGCCGCCGCCGCCAATTCCCCCTTTAGAGAAGAGACGGCGTCCTCTAGAGCCCGCACTTGACCACGAGAGGACGTCACCTCATCCTCCAAGGACCGGACGCGGCCTCGGGAGAAGGCAGCGAGCTGCTGCAGCTCCCCCACCTGAGTAGCATAAGCCTCATTAGACCGCAAAGCGATCTCCAGAGACTTCTGCACCCTGGCAAGATCGCCACGCACAGACCGGAGCTCAGCTTCCTGCCGCTTAGCCTCGCCAACGGAGGCACTGAGAACTTTATTCTCCTCCCTCAGGATCTTGTTCGCCTCCTTCCAAGGATGAAGTCGGCCCCTCAACTTGGCCAAATCCTCTTGCTGCTTAGCCAGGTCCTCCCGCTGCTGCTTCCACTTAGGCTTCCAATGGCCCATTATGCCCATAACACTGCAGCATGACCTGGGCAGCATCAAATCTATCTTCAGGGCCGACCTCGTCTATCAATCCTTGGTCGTTGGAGCCCAATGAACCTTGAGGAAAGAACTTCTCAGCGGTCACCCCCGCGCTCCACAACGAGTTCATGTCGGCGGAAGCACTCACATGATCCAGCCGCACCTTGTCCAAACCCTTCCCGAAGCGATGCACCAGATAATGGGTCCGGGAAGGCCCCTGCGACGAACCCCCCGGCGGCGCCGAAGCTGCAGCAGAGACCGACGTCCCCTGCTCGGCATCCTGAACGTCGACGGTAGGGACCCCCGACCCCACCTGCAAAGACCAACCCCATGTCAAGAACAAATAAGATGACATACGGAGAACCACAAAAACAAATAGAACAAACACTACTCACCTCGGCAGCATGAACAACATGCTCGGCAGCCGGAACCCCCTCCTCGGCAGCTTGGGCGGCCAGCCCAGCAGCCCGCGTCGCCACCTCGACAGCATTTCCTGCCTGTAGAAAACGGTCCCAGGTCAAAAGACCAAGGATTGTAACAAGAGACGATCGAAAAAACACGATACTCACCACCTCGGCAACTTGAACAACTTGTTCAGCAGCCCGAGTCACATCCTCAGCAACCACCGAGAAAACCTCTTTGGACGGCGGGCTCTCGGTAAGGTCCATCGTATCGGCATCAGCGGCCCTGGAGGTCACCTCCTCGGCACTACGAGGGGCAGAGGTCCCCCCGACCTCCTTCTCTCCCCTTTTTCTTTTGCGATGTGTCCTCTAGGGAGCGGCATCCTCCTCCGGGAGCTCGGGAACCTCGAGCTCAGCCACATTGTAACGGTGCTTAAGCTCCCGCCACAAGTTCTTCCCCATAATGCCTGCAGATAAGAAACAGAAGCACATCAGTAAAAGGCAACTACACAAGCCCGACAATCTATTGAAGCGTGCAATACTCACTCTCTAGGCCCCTCTCCCTATAAGGCGAATTTGCAAGCGACAGAACGAGCTTGCAATCCAGCGGACGAGGGAGCGCGACAAGATTCTTAATGGCGGCCGCCTCCGCGGCCGTCACCTTCTGATCTCCCAAACCGTGAAACCTAGACGGTTTGGGACGCCAATAGAACGGAAATGCCATAAGGCGGAACGCCCATCTTCAACTGATAAAAATGAAGAAAGACGCGAAGAGACACCTGTATACCTAGAACTGTACGCAGAACCTGAAAAGCCCTCAAAAAACCCCAACTATTGGGATGCAATTGGCAAGGAGCCGCGTTGATGAAATTCAAAAAATCGCACTCAAACTGAGTGAAGGGAAGGAAGACACCCAAATCCCTAAAAAAGCATTGATATACATAGAAATGGGGGGGATCAGTAGACCTCCCCATATACACGCCCTCATCGGCCTGACAGGGCTCAAGCCGAATCATGTGGGAGATGGAGGAATCGCAAACCCTATGCGCTCTCCGAAACGCATTCACTTCGAGGAAAGAGCGAAAAATGCTCTGAGCCTCAGCCACCTCGCGTTTGACCCAGTCGTAACCAGGAACGCCTGGCTCCGGGCCCCTAGGCGGCGGCGGGTCTTTCTTCTCAACAGTGACCCTTCCGGCGGCCACCGCCTTGCCACGCGCCTTGCCCCTGGCAGACGCAGAGGATCCGACACCACTTCCACCGGCCATGAAAAGAGAGAAGAAACAAATAAAAAGGAAGTACCTGGTACTCCTCCTCAGAAAACAACCCTAACAAAGAAGGGGTTACCGGAAACGGCGACGGAAGCGCAAAGGCAAGAAAGCAAGAAAAGCTCTCGTACTCGAGAAGTCAGAAGAAAGACAAAGAGTAAAAACAAAGAGGCGCGAGTGGAAGAAAAGGAAAAACTCTCCCCCAAAATTCAAAACCGACGCGACACGTGTCGGCTGAAAAGCACAACTGACAACACATTTATTGCAAAACCATCATTACACAACCGTCACTTCCCTTAACGCGTCGCTCGAACGCCCTCGAGAAATGAACAGTCGTGACACATGGTAAACCTTCGAACAACGTATGGCGAAAAGCCGCTCCCCTCCAATGAGCCCGGTCGTAACTCCTCGACCTACGACTTTCGGAGCTCGGGGGGTTAGTGTACTAACCGTATTTCGCACCCGGGCTCCTAGCCCGAATTAGTAATGCAAATAGGTGACCTCGGGCACGCGGTGCATGACGTCAGCCCGATATTTGAGCAAATCATACCTGATTCCGAGGATCTCGTCCCAGACCAGATCCGCCCTTCAATTATATCATATCATATCATGATATATCTTATCTCAAGCCCAAAAGCCCAAGGCAAACCTAGATCACCTCAAGGTACGTGCATTATATATATGAGACTATTACTCATGCAAACCCTAACTTTGGCATCAGAGTCTCTTTTGCAGGTACCTTCCCCATCTTGGAGCACCAATACACCGGGCAAAGGAGACTCACCGATCTTACTGGACGGACCAGCTCTACAGCAGATTTCCGGTAAGAACAATATATATAATTGACAAATAATTATTTTCGTTTAGTATGATGTTTATTTCAAATTCTCAAGTTCATATATGTGAAACCGTATTCGTTAAAAAAAAGTCAAATTTATAAATAATTTTTTATAGTTTGTAGTCTTTAACTTTCCGGAGAAAAATGCTTTAGACAATTTTTAAGCGCTATCACTATTTAATATTATTTTATTTTAGAAAAGTAGTAGTTTTACACACACATATATATAAACTTATAAACTTAATCCAACAACTTGCGTTTTTGTAAGTATATGGGAAACTGGTATTAAATTATAATTTTTTATGTGAATTATTCCTCACTCCCATTTGTTCCATCTATTATTTCCAAATTATGTTTTCGAACTTATTTTTCAATCATGTAAAAAGGTTTTTTTTTTTTTAAAACGGTTCTAATTTTTTTCGTATTTCTCTTTTTATTTGCTTTGTTTTATTCTAATACAATATTATTCTTTGTTGCGTGATCACCCACACTATTATTTATTTATTTATTTATTTGGTTCTAATCTTTGACTGATGGAAAAGGGTAAGAACTTTATGCATCTATTTATCTCCCATTTGACATTAAAAACATTTTCTAATTTTTCAAAGTAGTTGAGTTTGTTCATGTTGAATTAAGTGAAACTTAATTATGATTGTAAATGTGCTATTATGTTTAGTCAATCAAATCCAAATAGTTAGTTGAGGTTCAACATTTTCTTTTTGGATCATTATTCTTTTTACATTAGAGTGATAAAGGTGGTCCAAGTGGTTTGGGAAGAGGGATATAGGGTTGAGTGACTAAGAGGGTGTAGATTCGAATCTCTCCACTAACAATTAACAAATTAACCATTAACATTTGTCGTTAAAAAAAAAATTTATCCTTTTCACATTAGTTTTATGTCATCCTTCACAAAGTTAAAAGTTAAATAGTTTTCACTCGATTAATTCCTCGATTTCGTACCCGATTTTTATTCAAACTTCGGAATAAGAATTCTCTTCGGTTCAGCTTTCTGGATTTTATTTTGAAAAATGCTTAATCTTTTGAAAGGATAAGCCAAAAAAAAGAAAAACATGTCGAACACAGTAATAAAAACTCGTACAATAAAATTAATGAATAAATAGCATAGCTGTTTTACTTTATACAATACTTTGTGAGTACATGTGTATAAAATGAGTTTAGTGATAAAATAAGTTCTAAATAAATACATATTAATGTCGGTCAAAAGTTTACAAAAAGTTGACATCAATAACGTCAGTCTAACGACAATCCATCACAAATCCAAACTTTATTGTAAAATGAAAATGCTGACAAAGGAAGAAAAAAAATCTAATATGGATATGCTTGACAAACGTTTTTAAGTTTTAACCAGCAACATGGTTAAAAAAAATTCAATTTGTTTAATTTATTTGAAGTTTTTTTTTTTTAAGCTTCTTCAACTAATATCTTTTTTGTAAATGCTAGTTTCTTCCATTTAATTTCCCTTTTATCCTAAAATAATTATTAAAATTCATTTTTACTGTATTTTTACGTAAGGTGCAATTCTACTATTTTGTTATTATTTATCTTCTTGCTCTTATTAACAATAAGAATTTATTTTACTTGCGCTATTAACTTTTTATATATAATATTAAAATAATAAAATCAATATATATTATAAATATTGTAAGACTAAAAATAAATTGAAATAGATTTAGGTGACACATTTTTTTAATCAAGATAATAATATAAAGTATCTATTATTAAAAACAATAATAGGAATTATGAGTGACTGTCTTCTTCTAACATAATCTTCTTTCATATTCAATATCATAATTTGAACTCTGAATCTCTTGGTGATGAGACACTTATTTTATGTCTTCTATTATTCTTTAAATATCTTTTATATTACACTGCTTTCATCTTATTAGTAGTGGGATTTTTAACAAATTATTTCCTCCACATATCAATAATGAACGAGGAATTAAACCGGAAGAAAAAAAAAAAAAAGTGACGCAATGGGCAAGTTCAGTGATTTGGTTATCGGGGACATCAATGTTTTAAACTTTGCTTCGAGTTAGGTCTTGGAATACAAAGCTACAATTACAAATTTCATAATAAAATGCATCCAACATATACAAGATAGGGGACGATCACCATGTGCATTGGTTGGGTTGGGTGCATTAACAGAACCGTTAGGAAAGAAAATAAAAAGGTATGGTACGTCGTGGTTTATATATATAATAATGTATCCTTATCGGATTGAAAATTTCATTGCAAATGCAAAGTGCAAGCCCAAAAGCTTGGGATGCGGTTTTGAGGTGTTGTTCACTTGTCTCATTTGATTTGGACGCATGAGGAAAATTATCATTTGATTTAAACTACGTGTATGGAAACATGGTACGTTTGAAAAAATCACACATATATGGTAAAACATCATCACAGTCGGACACCGTAATTTTCAGGTCTTTATCATTACCAACCCACACAGATTGAAAGAAAATGAACATAAAATACATGTTAAATATGAGTTTAATTACATGGAATGTTTCGAAAATACTTTTAGGAGAACAAAAATATGGATAAAATGTAAATGATTCTTTAGTGAATGTTTAGGTAACCAAAGAGCTTGTTCATGTAATCGATTTTGGCATGCTGCCTGGCTCGTTTGAGACATAGTGCATGTTTGGATTGGATTTTCAAACTTGATTTTACACTCTCTCTCTACGTTGAAGATGGATTTTACGTGGAAGTAAAATTTTTTTGCTTCAACTAAACATGAAAATTCGCGTTTGCATTGAAACCCAAACATACACATAATGCATGTCTTAATTCACATTTCCAATTCACGTTTTAACCGATTTGATGCAGAAGTAAAAAATATAGTGTCCTATTTTCACGTCGTTTACATGAGTCTAGTCCAGGAAACGTGAAACAAGAGTCTAGTCCGCGAAACGTGAAACCAAACACACTGATAAAAGGCAACACAAGTATCAACTCGGCATGATTATAAGTTTCTATCTGAAAAATTCCAAAGCAATACTAATAATTGCCATAGAAATTCCGTATAAATAAAATATCAATTTAAACCAGCTAGCTTTCTTCATGGCAAACAACTAAAAAGCTTTACCAGTGCAAACACATCAAGAGACAGTCGATATTTTTAGAATTATCGCAAATAATATTTCAAATGATGGTATTGGGAGGTTTGGATAGAATAAAGTAAAAATTCTGGCTAGGTAATAATCCGGTTTTTAAGTGAAAATGAGAAGTAAATGTAGATCATTGGAAAATATTAGTTGAAAAGAATAAAAGAAAATTATATGTCATGACAAAAATTATTGCCTCTAAAGTAAACTCTCGAGGACCTCTTTTATAATCCAATAATTAATTTTCAAATTTTATTAAATGACATGTTCAAATATGTGTATTCGAGGTCAAATACATTGAAATCTCATGAACAATGTTATAGGACAATTTTTAACATCAAAATTAATTTTATTATTAGTGAGAAAATGATATATTAAATAATATTTATTTTTGTAATAATATTTTATGATTTAATAATTTTTTCATGAATTATATTTAAGTTTTATATTTAGATTGTATTTAATAATTAATGTAATATATTGATCTATATTATTATTTTAAAATATAATGATCATGCTCAATATTTATAAAATTTTATTTTCTAAAAATATAAACGCCATTTGTTTTATATATTATGAATAATATAAATAAAATAAATAAAATTATTTTCATCAATAAAAAAAAATATTATGTGTAATTAAATAAAACAACTATTTTCATTTTTTTTCTCCCAATTTTGTGTCTAAGTGAAATGATTAAACGTTAACAAAATAAATAAATATATTATTTATAATTAAATAAAATATATTTTTTATATCTAAAATTATTTAATAAATTTAAATACATTAAATTTCAATAAAACAAAATGATAAGACCTTAACAAATATTACGCTATATGCATATAATTTTTTTATATTTAATTTAATCATTTTACTTTTCTCATGTAATAATTCCATTTGAAATTATTATTGATGTTCACTTTTTTTAATAAATTTATGAAGTTAAATATTAAAATGATATTTTCTTTATTAATGTTAAGAATAAAATATAAAACTAATATTATATGTGTTTTTTTATGGTAACTAATTAATATTATATGTTTGATAGTATGTATATGAACCAATTTTTTGTTATCTCATAATAAAATCTTCAATATCAAATGTTCGATGTAAAAGATGATATTATTTTTAACATATAATTTATTATAATGAGTTAAAAATATATTAAACTTATACAATAATTTATAAAAAGAACTTTTCTTATTCTTATAAAATAAAGCTAATAATTTTAAAATATAAATAAAAAATAATTTAAAACATAAAACTAATAAAATAATTTATTTGTTAATATATAAATTATTATATAAAATTAAAAATCCGTATATCACATAGATAACCATACTAGTAATTAAAGACATTAGAATAGAACTATTTTATTAGGGCAAACCTAGTCTGAAATCTGAATGCAACCTACATCGAAATTATTAAACACGAGTTATTCTTGCTTACTTATTACAAACATTTTTTGAATCATTAACGTTGGATGCAAATAAAAAACAGTAAAATGAGAATAATAAATCTAAGGAAAAAAAAAATGAAAAGGAGGTGTGGGAAGTAAAAAGAAGGTGCAAATAATGATATCCATGTTTCCACAATCCAGAATGGTGTAGGCCCACTTGAGGCGGCCCATTATTGAAGTCCGAATTCCGAACAAACAATGAGAAGTTCATTAGTTGAGTTCACCCTAACTTTCTTCTTCTTCTTATCTCACCTTGTTTGGGTAAATCTATCTATGCTATGGTGTGATTGTGTATTCGTTGAAAATGTGTTGATTGGTTCATAGATATGTGATGTGTTTGGCACTTTGCATTGCAGAAGCAATGTTTGGGACGGCGATGAGATGTTTGGCGAAGAAACCGAAGCCGAAGATGGGACCGGTAGTTCTCAAAACGCCGCCGGAGCAGAGGCAGACAATAACGAGGGTTCTCTTCGATATCGTGAAGGAGCATGGCCCCATAACCGTTGCTAACACGTGGGAACGTGTCAAGGTACCTTGCGTTCGAATTCTATAAGTAAATTTCTTTTTATTTTTAATTTTATTGGTAGAAGTGTTTATAGAGAAAATTATGGTCTTAGGAAGTTGGATTGAAAGATTTGACGAGCAAGAATCACATGAAAATATTGCTGAGATGGATGAGGGAGAGGCAGAAGGTTCGTCTTGTTTGCAACCACGTTGGGGCACACAAACAGTTCCTCTACACCACTTGGTTCACCAAGCCGACTACCCCTCCCACCAAGAACAACAACCCCTCTTGAAATTTCATCTCTTTTATGCGCTGTCGAGAGCAATAATTTTGTTTTGGAACCGTTTATAGAGATTAAATGTAACTCTTTTAACTTTTTCCAAGAGTCGGTGAATATTAGGGGCAGTGTTTCGGAACATGTTTTTTCGCAGATTGGAATTACAAGTTTCTTAGATCAATCATCTAAAAATAACTTACTAGCATCCTCGACAGTTTGAAACTACTGTATGATGCTTGTCAGAATGACTAAACCATCAATTTGGTCATGAAGGGTTACCCTCTTTCCCAAGTTGTCTTTGAAGTAGTAAAATTATACCTTTAGTCTTTAAAGTACTGAAAATACATCAATTTAGTCCCTGCTATAATATATTTTTGATGAACTAATTTAAAAGATTTTTCAATACTTTAGGAATTATGTAACATGATTTATTATAGTTTAGGGTCTATTTATATAATTTTACCATTTCAAGGACTGATTAAGAGAGAGGATAGTTCTTCAAGGACTAAACTGATAATCAGATGTTTGCAGCATCTCCTCAGCAGTAGGGGTTAAGTTAGTGGCAACTTTGAAAAATTGTTCACAAGAAGATTAACAGTCTGAAACTCAATTCCGTGACAGAAATTAATGAATAAAGAGGTTTGTGGTGATTGCGGTAATGCTACGCGTTTCAGTTTTGGAAGCACTTGCACTAGACAAGAATTTTGATTTAGGATCAGATGCTCTAACTATGGAAACTCATGAAATGGAGATAAAGGACAAATACTCAAAGTTGTTGCAGTGTGAGACAATAAGGAATTTAAGCTGTTTGGGATTTTGAGAATGTGAAACATTTTCATGTTCTTTATTGTCCTCCATGATTTGCTCCAATTCGTCACAATTTTCTACCACTAGGACCTTCTACGAAGGTAGCATTCTCAAGACACAGGCAGAGAAGATAGCCTTTAGTTTTGGACAATGACAAAGTGTAGTTTATGAAGATGTTCAACTTGAAAAGCCCAAAAAGTTTGGAACTTGTCCATATATACCTTAGCTCTGGTAAATTGATTACCCTTAGGATTTCTAACCACATACTCGTTGTTCATTGATAAGAAATTTCTTCATATGGAAAATTTCTTGACTTTGGAGTTGTTTTCAATAACAGCAAGTTTCAACTGGATTCTTATTTGTTTTCAGTGATACCAACCAGGGACAGCAAAATACTTATTGTTTCTTTAATTTAAAATTTACAACTTCTCCGGAAATTACATTACGCAGTCATTATCAATTTTTTCTTTTTTCATTTACAACAAACAGTAATGCCCAATTTTAAATCAAGCAAGGAATTTGAAAAGTAGTTTACATTATTAATAAATTAATATTTTTAACTAAAATAATTAATTTTCTTAAAGAGTGTATTTTAGTCGAAAGAATATTATAAGAAACAGAGGTAAAATTTGTTTTGTTTTGTGTGACAGCTAATTTAGATAAATAAAGTAACTGCATGCCTAATATTATTATGAGTTTAATTGTTATATACCGATAAATTTATACCGTTAACCAGTTAAATATTATTATTGAAATGAATTTTTACTTATTTATCATTCATCAATTATGAGTTGTGAATAAATAATCAAGTAAAATTACTTTACACCTATTTTATCTTGTCAAAGACCGTTCTTATAATATTGTTTACAAAATATTATAAACATGTCCTTATATATATAAAATTTAAATTAAAAAATGATCTAAAGGCTGGAAAAACAATTGGCTTCAGGGAGAATATATATATATATATATATATATATATATATATATAGTGTAACAAATATATTCTCTCGTATCACAGA